ATGTGATACCGTAAATCACTAAATCATGATATATGAGAGACATAAATAAATTGTTTTTATTTATTTTTATTTTATTATTTAAAAAATGGTTCATCGATGCACCGAACCTATTTACTAATGCGGTTAAAATTCATTTTGTGTAAATAATGCAACTTGATTTTTTCAATTTGGTTATGGTTATTTTTAAATGATGCGGTTTGGTTTTAAATTTAAATCAATTCATTTAATTTTTTTTCTCACACCTTTATTAATAAGTTTTACGGTTGAAAAATTTCAAGCGTGTGGTTCAGCGGTAGGGGTTGATTCACGCTTAAGCAAGGTTAGGGGTTCGAATCTTGCCTTATGTATGCAACTGCGTTAAATCTTGGGGTCAACTATCCCACCCTTTGAGGTGTCTCCAACGTAGCGAGGAGATTAGTCACTGCTATCGGCGGTGGATACTCCAGGAATGAACAAAAAAAAAAGTTTTATGGTTGAAACTTAAAAATCATTTCGTTATAAGTGAACCTTTGAAATACACTATGAGATAAATACAAGTGAGCAAGGCAATAACAATTGCATCTACATTTAAAAAAGAAACAGGAAAAAAGAGTGATGAAAGTAGTGAAAGAAGAGGATTTAGATGATGATGAAGTAGAGGAAGAATATAATTCTAATAATAGGAGTGATGAATTTGAGAGAAAAATTTTAATCTTCACGAAGAAGATTGAACTTTAGTATTTATTTTTTTAGTTACTTAAAACTTTAACACTTTATTTCCTAAACATTTTATATTATTTGCTTCAAAAAAAAAACATTTTATATTATGTTTTGTATAAATACTACAAACTTTTATTATTAAAAATGATTAATTCATGAATTTAGTGTTATTTTTAGCTTATATATTGTTAATTATTAATATATATATATATAGAGGAGGGTTCAAACGACACTGGTGTAACTTTTACTAAGTGTTACACCGCTTAATAACTTTATATTAAATGTGAATTTTAAAAATCCAACCGTTAGATTGAAAGTTCATATCTCTTAGATCATATATACCAAATTTTGTTAAATTTGAACAACAACTTGAAGGTAATCAAACTGTTCATATTTTAGTGTATTTTGAAATGAATATATTACGTCAATTTTGTTTTATGAGAATGAAGTATCAAATCATTTTGGATTAATATAAAATTTTGTATATATGATCTAAGAGATATGAACTTTCAATCTAACGGTTGGATTTTTAAAATTCACATTTAATATAAAGTTATTAAGCGGTGTAACACTTAGTAAAAGTTACACC